CGACAACTTAAAAATATTTTAAGACAAATATGTGCAAATTTACAATCATGGCCAAAACTTTAATTTGAAATCTTAGAAAGGATCGTAGCGACTTAATATAACTCAAATTATTTTCAGTCGCTACAGAAAGTCAATCCCCAAAATAATATCAAAATCATGAATATTGAGTGGAATTAGACCTGCTTTCAATACATGGTTGTTCACTCTAATCCCACAATCTTTATATACTCTACTAGCTAAAAGTGAATCCCCTACGGGAGTCGCTATTACCAATTCACTATCTAAAGGCTCAAACATCCGATCAGCATGGTTAGCAAGTGCATGAGAAATAAAGGAATGTGTAGCACCTGAATCAATTAGAGAACGAGCATTTCTACCAAAAATAAATAACATACCCATGACCACATTTGGTGACTCATCAGCATCGTGCTGAGTCACATCAATAGCTCTTCCCTGAGCCTTAGGACGTCCTGCCTAACCTTTCTATCTACTACCACTGCTGCCCGCAACATCAGACCGAGTAGCACTAGTAGTACCTGCTTTACCTGCCAACGTCTCCCGGTTCTGATATTGTCTAGAAATACCAACACCAGACTGTAAAGATATCCCCTGTGATGTACTACCTTGCTGAAAGCTAACTGGACACTCTCTCATTTGGTCCTTCCTGTCCGCACACAAAGTATTCACTAGTTCTCTTAAGGCACTTACAAAGATTGGGTCTCCCGCAATTCCGACAAGGCAGATACTAAGTACTACTAAGGCCGTCAATAGGTCTCGAGGCCATGGAACTTTGAACAGTAGACTAACGGTGCACTAGCTGGGAGATGGAGCTCTGGCTACGACCGAATCCTTGACTAGATCCAGAACTCTGAGATTTCGACTTGAAACTCCTAGTATGAGTAACACTAGGCCAAAATCTTCCTCTGTTCTTTTTAAGCTGTCCACTAGAGTTCTTCCCTGAATAGCCAACTGAACTCCCTGACTCTGTCCTGCTTGTAATGCTGCCTCGACTCTCGAGGCTGCCTCTACTAGTAGACTAAATCTAGCATGTCCCTGTCCCATCACCATCGCCCTAATATCGGGCTTCAAGTTCTTTTCAAATAGTCTTCATTTGTCATTCTCTTCATTTACTAAAACCAGTGCATACCTTGAGAGCTTGACAAACTTGGTATGATATTTTGAAACAGTCATTGAACCTTGAGTCGCCTCAAGAACTTATTTTGCTTGGCATTTTTGTATGAAAGAGGATAGTAGGTCT